TAATTTTGTACACAATTAATTAAAAAAATGTAATTACATGACAGAATTCAGCACAATGGACGATTATGTAGCAAGTATGCTACATAATATGCTAATAGCCGAGCTAATTTTTAGTTTAACAATTTTCCTCACTTTGAAAACGGTTAGCGCACTTATTTATTGGTCAGATGTTATATTTTAAACCTAAATGTGAAAGTCATAAAGAAAAATAGTATTTTTGGTAAAAGTCACATTTTTCCAATGTGTCAATCTGCGCGTTTTAAATAAACGTAAAGGACAAATGTTTTTAGCGACGTATAAAACATTGAAAGTTCATTAATATTTGCTTCACTTTAAGTGAAATAATCTTCAGAGTAAATGAGAGATTAAGAAGTTTTCCTTGGATTGAAACTCAAGGAAAATCAACAGGAATCAGTTTAAATGTCTGTAAGAAGAGTTTTATTTGTAATGTGTGTGTGTGTGTGTGTGTGTGTGTGTGTGTGTGTGTGTGTGTGTGTGTCAGCCTCGGGGTTGTACTCCAGCGGAAAAGACCTCAGACTGTCGGGGTCTTCCGTTTGGTTTTATTGGATTAAACGTCTTGGGGAACATGAGAACCACTCTGTCCTTTTCTTTTCTCATGACTCAGACTTTAGTTCATTTTCATTTAATTTTTATCTTTAGATATTTAGATTCATAAACACAAAATATAAGATTATTACATTTATAATTTCAGCATGTTTTAGTTTTATGAGCACACAATAATTCCCAGTTAGTTATAGTTTTTCCCCATTAATTAGTTTTTATTTACTTAAGCTAAAAAAATTTCTCAATTTCAGCTTTTGCAGTTTTGTTACTTTTAGTGAACTCTTAACATTAAAATATTAGCAGCACAAGAAAAATCACATTTTTGTTTAACTACAAAAGGTTAAAAGGAAAATGTTTACCATTCAGAAAACTAGTTAGGCTCAACATTCCCCCATTTTATTCACTCTTTAAATTGTTTACAGTGTAAAATAAAATTTCCCCAGAACATTCAGATTAAAAAAGGAATATTTATTACCAAAACAGAAGGCGAAGCACAGCTTAAGCTCACTGCAACAGCACAGCATCATGGTTGAGTCCACAGCTAAAGAGCCACGATTATATCAGTAACGTCAGAGATAAATATTAAAATATCACGGCACTCAAACCCACTGAGGAGCACAAAGCTTACAGACATTATGAAGAGCATCTACAGCAGCCTCAGTCATGCTCCTTTTCTTGCACTGCAGCGCCATCTAGTGCCTGCTCAGCATGGTTACAGTAGTACAATCAGACAGCAGCATGAAATGCAACAGGCGCTTCGTACCGAAAGCTAAACGAGAACATTTAAGGGACAATCGATCGATTTCTGGGACTCGAAGTGGAAGAGAAGAAGGCGACGGCGTCGTCCTCGGTTTGCTGAAATCAGAACTCCACCCGTTTCATTTACGGCTGAAAAAACAAAAACACACACAGGCCTCTCCCACTTTGAAGTTTAAAACGTTGGTCGTTACATTCGACTGCTAAATCCCTGCAGGAGTTTATTTCAAGTTTAAAGGAGAAACTAGTTTTGTGTGTTTAGAGGAGAAACTTGTGCGTGTTCAGAGAAACAAACGGACTGAAGTTGGACAACTTTCTTCAAATCTAACAACATTGGTGTCAAACGTTTGTGCAGCATAAATTTTTGTTTGTGCTGCTGTCACTTTAAAGGTATTAATCAAAGCGTTTCCAGACATCATCATCAATATCCTCAAAGTTAAAGCAGCACAAATTAAAATTCTGCTGCACAAACGCAGCTTCGGTCGATCGGCTCAGAATTTGTTTGATTTTGTGAAATTTTAAAATGATAGCAGCACAAATGTAGCACAAACTGGAGCTGGGTAATGAGGGAGGGGCTAGTTGACCTTTTGACCTTTAGGCTCTGATTAATATCTCCAAAGGAAAGGCAACTCAAACAAAAATAACTTTTGCTGCACAAACGTTTGACCAATTTTATTTGGCTGCTTGACCTTTCATGGCCTCTGGAAACATTTATTAACGTCCTTAAAATGACAGCGGCACAAACGCAGCACAAACATTTCACACCAATGTTACTAGATCTGGGTGATGTGGGAGGGGCTGGTTGACCTTTTGACCTTTAGGAAAAAAGGGAAAAAGCAGAAACAAATTTTGTGCTGCCAAACATTCGGCACCAATTCTGTTAGATTAGAGAAAGATGTTGGCCAACTTCACTCAGACTGCATTTGGCCTAAACAAATCCCGGGAGCGATCTGGTTTTCAACCCGTTTCAGTCAGATCCTCTGATTCTGTGGAAGAACGACGTTTCTTCTGAGGTTTTTGCATCAATTTGCTCAACATGAAGCAGAAACGTCTGAAGTTTCCTTCAAACATCATAACAAACGAGTGAAACCCAAACCCGGGCGTTCGGAACCGCTCTGTAGAACAAAGGAGCCACATTCGGCCCAAATGAAATCAGGTGGAGTTCCTGTTAAAGGGGGTCGAAATGAACACAGTTCAGGCACAGGAAGTACTAACGCTAAAGGTCACAGGTCAGCCATGATGTTACTGTTTCTCTTCCGTCTCACACGGTTCTGATTGGACGTCTGCGGGTCGGTCCGGTTGGTTATGCAGCCGTAGGCACAGAGAGGTGCTGCCACCTGCTGGCGGGGGAGGGTAATCTGGTGATGCGGGGTCGGACAGAGCGTTGCCTAGGCAACGACCCACTGCAGGATGCTGGTGTCTTTCCCGCCGGTGGAGATCAGGTGACTGTCGTCGTGCAGGAAGGCGACGTTGGTCACATGACTGCTGTGGCCGCTGTACTCATGACTCTGAGCCTGTTCAGAAAAACAAACACTTAAATCTACAAGAATATCATTCAAAAATTATCTATTTCACTTTTTTATTAATTGTATAAACTAACGAAGGATTGCTTAATGTTACAGTTCTGCAAAAATTAAGTTTTTCCAGCTTCATGAAGCACACAGTATGAATATCATTATTATTATTACTGCTTTTTCTGAGCTATAATGGAAACACAATAGTATATATGCATTCACACATATTTTAAATGCAACAATATGCAAAATAATTTAATAGAAGTTTTTTTATTTGTTTTTCTGTTATAAAATATAATTTAAAATAGCTTTTTGAGATGCTCATATTTATGATTTAGAATTTCTCAAGCTGCGCGCTAGCTAGCATAGCACAGCTAGCATAGCAGCCTGACTAACTACCAAACTAATAAACATTTAATATAACTTATCCAATTTATAGTGGTGTTTTATTTAGTTTGCAAATTATGAGAGACGTTTTCC